TGATGATGTGATGATGATGATGATGATGATGATGATGATGATGATGATGAGATGATGATGATGATGTGATGATGATGATGTGATGATGATGATGATGATGATGATGAGGAGGAGGAGGAGGAGGAGGAGGAGGAGGAGGAGGAGGAGGGGGAGAGGAGGAAGAGGAGGAAGAGGAGCAGGAGGAGGAGGAGCAGGAGGAGGAGGAGGAGGAGGAGGAGGAGGAGGAGGAGGAGGAGGTGGAGGAGGCAGCACGAGGTTCAGGAGGAGGAGGAGGATGAGGAGGAGGAGGAGGAGGAGGAGGATGAGGAGGAGGAGGAGGAGGTGGAGGAGCAGCACGAGGTTCAGGAGGAGGAGGAGGAGGAGGAGGAGGAGGAGGAGGAGGAGGAGGGAGGAGGAGGAAGGAGGAGGAGGAGGATGAGGAGGAGGAGGAGGAGGAGGAGGTGGAGGAGCAGCACGAGGTTCAGGAGGAGGAGGAGGAGGAGGAGGAGGAGGAGGAGGAGGAGCACGAGGTTCAGGAGGAGGAGAAGGAGGGGGGAGGAGGAGGGCGTACGATGGGGAGGAGGTGGAGGACTGATGGCGGAGGGAGAATGACCCGGGCGGCGCGGCGCAGCGCGGCGCCGTCGTCCGTCGTCCGTCGTCGTCGTCGTCGTCGTCGTCGTCGTCGTCGTCGTCGTCGTCGCGCTGCGCCTCATTGTCGTCGTTGTCGTCGGGGCCGTCGCCGTCGTCGTTCGTCCTCTTTCTCCTGCTCGTCGTGGTCGTCGTGGTCGTCGTCGTCGTCGTCGTCGTCGTCGTCGTCGTCGTCCCTTTCCTCCTCCTCCTCCTTCTGCTGCTCGTCCTCGTCCTCGTTCTCGTCCTCGTCGCTCCGAGGTGCTCGGACGTTCGTGGGTGCTCTCTCGGAAGCTCTTCGGGCCGGCTGGGGTCTTCTCCGGCAGCCGCGCCGGAGGCGCGCCAGGGATCCTCCCGAATGGTCTTTCGTGGCCCTACGTGCCCTCGGCTCTGGACGTGGAAGTAATTTACCAAACAGTGCTTGCACTGAGGGTGTCTTACTTGCTTCACTAAGGAATTTGATGGGTCCAGCGGTGGTTTTCCGCGTTGCCGCCCGTGGCCGCCTCGCGGCCGCCTCGTGCGCTGGGTGGGTCCGGCGAGGTTTCGCCACATTGCCGCCCGTGGCCGCCTCGTGGTCGCCTCTGGCTCGGACCACGCATGCTGCACCGCATCGCTCAAGCCACATAGCTTGCACCACATAGCCTACACGTCCACAGTGCCATGTCTTGCTGTTTGGGGTCCACGCTGGTGTTTACGGGTCCCTGGGCTCTGGTCATCGGGCGACTAAATCTATACATATCCACTGCTCCCGGGCCAGGCCCATCCTGAACCCACGAGCTGTGTATACGCCCTCCTGGCCGAGCCAGGAGGGCGTGCCTTCTCCACCGCTGCTAGGCCCAGGATGGGCCTGTCCAGGGAGCAGTGGACATGCATAGATCTCGTCGCCCGATGACCAGAGCCCAGGGGCCCGTAAACAGCCAGCGTGAACTCCAAACAGTAAATTATGGCACTGTTCAACTACACGTAAGAGTGACCCTTCGCCGGAGTGACCTCTGGTGCGCGCCCACTGGGGCCACCCGATCGCTGAGTGCGATGCGATAGTAGCGTTTGGCGCGCTTGTGTCTGGCCAACCCTGCGTCCCCCGTTACGCCGCGCACCAAATGTCGCTCTTGCCGGGGGGTGGCTCTCTTGCGTGCAGCCGACCTGTGCATCGCGTCGGCGCTGGGCCGCCTCGGCGGCCGCCGGGCCGCGCCGCCGCCGTCGGGCCGGCGCCCGGCCGGCCCCCTCGCCCCCCGGCAGGGCGGCGATGGCGATGGCCCGGCGGCAGCCCGTCTCGCGCCGCGCCGCGGCGGGGGTGGGGGCGGCCGTCGCCGCCGCCGCCGCCGCCGCCGCCGCCGCTGTCGTCGTCGTCGTCGTCGTCGTCGTCGTCGTTGTCCCTCTTTTGTTACCCGCTTCTTGTGTCTTGTTGCCCATCGGTAGTTGAGTATCGGTATTTTTGATCCCAAGGTTCCACTCTACTTCGGGCGCTTTCCCATTTCAAGTGTCGAGCGGTTTTCCCTCTTCTTTCGTCTTCGGGGGGCGGGCGGATATCCACTCTACTTCCCGCGCCTTCCTACTCCATGTTTCTACACTTCTTCCGACCGGTGTGTATCCCTTTTCCTTCTTTTGGCCCAGCGGCGCTTACTGGGCCGGGCCCAGGGGTACCTGGGTAAACGAGGCCAACGCCCGCACCCCTGCGCCAAGGGTATTTTTTCCTGCTGTTCTCCTGGGAGCTTCCTGGAAGCCTAGCTTGCGGAGGTGTCCCTCTGGGCAATCCTGCTGGCCAATCTGAGGCACGCTTTTGCAATGCTCGCGTCCAGTCGAGAAGCCTTCTCCCTCCCTCCTGCGATTACGTCGCCGCCGACGACTACGATGACACCGACGACGACTTCAACGACGACGCCGACGGCTACGA